GCAACGCCTGGTAGGCGTGTTATACGTGTTAAATGTCAGTAAACCCCTCACAGACTTTTATAAACGCTATGACCCTTTCCAGCACTCTTACAAACACTTTCGATGCTCTTACAAAGTGTATTGTACACTTTTTAAATATACGTAAGAAAAAAAGAAAAGTCTCCAAAACATTTCCTGCAAAACATCGAAAATCCACAAAAGTTAACCTAGAAGGAAACTGGCGAAGTATCATGTCCGCGAAATAAGAAACGCGAAATTGCGAGATGTTACTGTGCAGCTGTATCAGAGGTGGCCTTGAGCTATCTTACAGCAGAGGTTCCATCAGCGTTGGCGCCCTAGGGTATGTGTCAGGTTTCGGCGTGTCCACGTTAGGATTCGTGTTGAAAGCAAAGTCCGGATTAAAACAGGATATAGCAATAGTCAAGCCCTGAAATTTAAAGCAGGGTCAAGTGTCGTACGGGAGTTGGCGCACATACCTTTGTTCAATCAATTGTCATCAGTCTTTGCCGGCAATACTATCTGCCTATACTACTCGCTTTTCTGGCTGCTGTCAGGGCCCGAAAAATGAGGCCCTAGGCAAAGGCAGAGCGGGAAAAGTGAGTTCCGTTAGTGGTCGGTAAACGGTCATTAACGAGTGTTAATATCTCCCGACATAATCCGGTAAGACGACGAGCTCGTAGCGCAATGGTTAAGACGTTGGGCGCTCATAAAAGGGATCGGAATTTGGGCATCAGGTGTGGCAGCACTTGGGGCTGGACATGACTGGCTGACGATAGCTTATTAACCAGAAATGACCATCACAGTCTCACTTGTCTTTGTCGGTAATGCTATCAATCATACTTCATCTACAATCGATCACAGGGGAGCTAACGGAGTAGAAACTGATGAAGCTATGTTTTGCTAAGTACTTCACAGACAGAGATCCGTTACAAACAGGTGAAAAGATAAACCGAATAGAGCAAAGCAAACTTAGTTCCCGCAAAACCGCGACTTATACTGTAATTGATGCGGTACGGACAGTTTGTGTGACCGCCTAGACAGGACACTGGAATAGGAACACCTCACTTTGGCGATACATTTCGCTAAGAGAAAGTATTCCCGCATCTTGACATTAATCCCACCATCTTAACCCTAGCCCTATCCTAAACCCAAACCCCAAATACATATGGAATAAGAAATGTCGACCATCGGCTCAATTTGTTTATTGTGCTGAACTTTCGAACTCTTACAGGAGTCCATCACCAGAGATAATAAACAGTAACCACAAAAGGATGTAATTATACTGTTTATGACCCCGGACTTCACTGACAGTCAATTGGCTCATATTATTGTAAGTGCCTTCCCCCCATTCTTTGTGACTGATGTTTCCAACCCCTTGACGACCTCATGACCTCTGGCAAGAGACTGATTTATGTCCACTATAATTATTTCCTTTTTGGTTGCTGTTTCTTATCTCTGAAGGTGGACTCCTTTAAGACTTTGAAAGCTCAGGATAATAAACAAATTGATCTGGTGCTCGACACGTCTTCCCTCCTTCTTCTTCTTCTTCTTCTTCTTCTTCTTCTTTTTCTTCTACATGCTGATATCTGGAACGCGAATGCCTTCTTTCATTCCCAAACCCTACTGATAACACGAACGCAAATCTTCTTCCAGAATATGGCGCAAAGCCACATGCAATGTGTGCGACTTCCGCATTGTGTCCTGTTTAGGTCACCATACAAGTCATCCTGAATGGTGCTGCAACATATGCCCACTAGACAAAATTTAAATGATCCGGTTATGAAAGTTGTGCATTTTCCGCAATAATTCGACGCGTTTAATGATAAAGACCTTTTTTCAAAAATCTTTCTTCAGTCCCGGTTCAAACTTGTGCATCGGTGCGTATTTGTCAAATTAATTAAACTTAAGCGGGAAGCTTTACCGAAACAATAGTTGGCAGATTGCAAATTGATTTTTAAATGCACGTAAATCAGACAAAGAAAAAGATCTGAATAAACACGTCATTGTCGAAAAAAAATTAATTCTCCTATAAAAACTCAGCTTTACGTATTTGTGTGATTAGTTTACCAAATAGCATAAAAAACACCTATAGAGTACCCTTTGCTTAAACGCGTATCTATTTTCCGGGCGTATGTGAACATTCCATTTTTTAACGGCAAAAAGACCCACAATCAAGTGCCAAGCTTAACATTTATGCACATTTAATTTTTTACTGTGGTCTAGTTTCCGTTAATACGTACAGTAGAAACAGAAGTGGTAGAATAGTAGCAGGTTGCGCAGTAATTTGTATTTCCAGTGCCTACTATTTGGATAGTGTATACTCATAGAACACGAAAATTCACAGTATGCAAAGATGACTCAAATGCCTCAACAAACAGAAATGTATTATAATTTTTCGTCTGTGGCTCTAATAGGCATGCAAATTTTTCACTGGATTCGGAAACCCATGAAATGCGCAAAGTAAGTCCGCAAAAAATCATATTCATTCATTTGGATAAGGATGACCTATATGGCCCCTAAACATAACACGGGAATAGGAACGCTCTGGCATTGCGCATAATGCTTTAAGAGGTCATATTCGTGTGTTATAATCGTAACAGTAGAATTAACATGAACACAAACCGCAGCTGTAATCGTAACCCCAACGCTAAAAATATACATATTAATAATCCTTACGTTACTTGCAGACTAAAGCATTTGCTCACCTTAACTTCAACTTTAAATCTAAATCTCAGCTTAACCCTCACTCTAACCATAAACATCATCCTATTTTTCATCGAATCAGGCGCCAAGACACATTTATTGCGCGCGGTTTCCATTCGCGTATTCTGTTTAGGTGACCATATGATTCATTCATACTACAGTTTTTAAGGGGGAAACTCATTAAAGAGAGCTTAAAGCTGCATTAAACACTCATTGTGGCCGAACGTTTTCGTTGGCGATGAGGTTTGGTGCGTGTGTTTCTGCAGCTGCATAAAACATTACGCTATGGAATAAACTGCGTTGTTAAATGCGCTAACATTTTGTCTTATTTTGAAGGACTTTACGAAACAAACGACAGAATCTGTCTCCTTTTTGACAGCCGTGTTAGCACATTAAAACCTGTCCACTACTTACTAACATTTTACAGACACCCTGAAACGCTGGGGGTCCACCATCACCGAATACCACGCGCAATCTGGATGGAAGCAAATGTGTTTCATACGTAAAAATGATGTTTTTACGATTTAATCAACTAATTATAATTGAATTCATAGCCGCTCACGAGCCTCTGGATATGTGACTTTATGAAATCGTTTTTAGTATGCCGTCCATATTAGCGTAGTCATGCTAAATTATTCATTTACCAGCGTATATCAGAGTCCTAACGTTTGCCAGTAATAAAAAAACGGCCAACTGTTCGCAAGTGATCGTAGGTGCATGTTAAAACACGCAATTTATATAACTTCTTATTGGAAGCTAATTAATGAAACTTTATATTCAAAAATGCCTTTTTAAGAACGCTGTTTGGTGTATTCTTTTTCACTTATTGAATGGCTTGCATGAACAGGCTTCATAAGTCTCCAACAATTGATTTTACTTGTTTAAGCCACAATTTTTATGCCTTCGGCTTTACGCTTTTCTTAGGAAACTGGACAGTCGTAAACAAAGTACTATTTGCCTTGTATGCGCCTTTTTACATTCTCATTTAACTAGAGGCCGTTCATTAGTAATTGAGCATTTGATTGATGTAGTTGACGCGGTTTCCGATCGACTGAGGCCTGTTTTTTTATTTTCCACGGACAGTCATTGTGAAGGTCACGTTAATGCATATTCCACGCGCCACAGTCAACGAGTGAGAGAATAACTTTAAATTCAAGCGAAAACAACTTTTAGACAGGTTTTTGTTGATTTTAAGTCACGGGACACATGCTCAGGCGGTCCTCGACCCAAAAGATGACCACGAGAGTACTATAACTTATCAATATGCATTTTTCCAAGAAACCAACGAAGTCAACCTCATTTTACACATGTAGAGTCCTTTGCAGGTAAGGATTAATCCTTCTATTGTAATACAAGCGCCGCTGTAGTTAACTCTGCGAGTCATAATGATGACTTCGACAGAGCATGGAGATACGATCAGCTGCATTCTAATAATCAAATATTATTTTGGCAAGAAGGAATATCCTCTGGGAGTCCAGAGTCTGCAATGCGAGGTATCTGATTGGTTTTGAGATAAGCATGCCGTGAGCAAGCATTCAAAACGTACCGAAGCTTCAAATAAGCGCTGAGAGAGGGGCGTTTTAACACGTTTTCTCCTGCAGCACCGAGTACTCCAGAAGCCAGCCCTTGGTTCACTTCATACACGCTATAACGTTCGCTTTTGGTCGGTTTCCTTTAAATCACGGTTTTATTAAAGCAAGAACAACAACCACTGAAGACTATACTTCTTTCGTAGCTCCTCGATATCTGTATAGTGGGAGACATTTTCATAGTAAGCATTATAGAGGATGGAAACCGGCGTTTCTTAAAATGACTGTTTTTAAACTGTAATCTCTCAAGGACATCATCAGGTCTCTTAATAGGAATATTTCGGGTTGTAACTCACCTCATAGCCCGGTAAGGGGTCGGTGACTCGGGATGTCCCATGTGACGAGGCCCTTCGGGCATAGAGTTCTGACGTTGTGCGAGGCGTTGATTCGTTGGCATTGACCCGACAGAGGGACCACGTGCTCTCGGTGGAGGTTGTTCCTGCTGTGGAATCATCCCCCTCTGCGGCAGATCTTCGCCGTTTTGAGGAACTAAAGGCAGAAAAATAAAATATACAAACTGTTGAGTGAAGAAGAGAGCTAAAATTCTGATTGATCAAGGGGAGAGAGAGTTCCGAAAGCGCTTGGAGTAATTTGAAACTAATAATATGCGAACGAATCCTTTACGCGGAGGGGCTTATCGGTTTAAAAACTGGTCACGACTTCATGCTCACTGACACAAAACTCTGTTCTGATTTATAAACTGCGAGAAGGCTTTACTATGATTATTCACCATTTCTTTGGCCAGAAAATGGTCTTTCTTTCTCATGCACACATCGACAGCTTTATTATTACAAACAACGTTGGCAGAATCCTAGTTTTGGTCCTAAGTCAGCACGAAAAAGCCCCATCCTTCTGTATTACAGAAGGGGTTGAACTAAAGGGCATATAGTCTGGGCAATACAAAGAAAAGGAAATATAAAATGTTTTTTATACAAATAGAAAAAGCAAGAGTAACTATTTAACCGCCCTTATATCAACAAAAAACGCGCCATAATTAAAATGGGGCATTATGCAAATATTGGGAAATAAATAAATTAAAAATAACTAACCAAACTAAAATCAACTAAATAAAAAACGTAAACTAAAGTAAGCTAAACTGAATTTAATTAAATAAATAATCTAACAATAAAGTAAAAATAGTAACCATCATAATAAACGGAAAACTAAACTGAAAACTGGACTTAAATATAAGTAGGAAAGTTAGACCTCGTGTAATTTGAAGTAGACGACCTCCTAAGCAGCGATGTTTTTTTCAGGAATATCAAGAAACCCTATAAATTATAAATTATCTGTCCGGTGGCCTCCATAACAGACCGGTACAGGCACGACGACTATACGCTGGATTATGGCTAGAGTAGACTTTCGCTGTATCTACTTCACTCTCTCTCTCTCTACCCTCACTCACCCGGACCCGGTGTCAAAACATGGTCCACACGAAAGAAGAAGAAGCGATCACTGGAACAAGAGGTTTATTTTCCTGACGTTTCGG